CACCAAAAATCAAACAAAACCCGACACATGTGGCCAAATGCAAATGCGCATTTTGTCGCATTCCAAGCCCAGCTGGTCGAGTTGATCCGAACTGGTGGCTTTGCCGGTTTTTTAGCCGCAGACAAACTAGTGCCTAATGCCATCCGAATTCGAAATTGCAAAAACAAGAAAACATATTTGTGTTCACTCTTATAAATTAAAAAGAACATTCTTTTGCACATGTTCTTCTAAATGATTAAATAACATATACTTGGTTTAAATTTATTTGACTTAATATAATAATACATATTTGAATACATTTATAATAAATAAAATGCGCTACTTACTATAAAACTCACTCTTTTTAGAAAACTCAAATTTTTAAAACGTTTTTTTTAAGCTTTGAAAGAGAGTTTGAATGGAGGCTAAATTCATTTTATAACCAGTTTTTTATAATACAAAAAAAATGCACATTGAATTGAGAATTCTAAAACTAAAAGCTTTCCGAATTTGAATCGGCTTGCCACATTGTTGGTCGGTAATACAATATACCCTTACATTTTTCACTGTTAGCTATTATAAAAACCCACACACATTCGAGCTCTCGCACAAATTGGTGCGGTTCGTATCTAAATCGAGTCTCAATTACACACGAGCAACAGCCCCCCTATTACCACCAATTTTCCACCCCCTTCCCTGGCGGTTGGATTCTCATTAACTGAGCGCGGGTTACGCAGAGCATTCGGCTGTGGAGCGTTGGCAACCACCGTCTATAAACCGAACCACACCCTCCCCACTGACTTTTTCACTAGCCCCCTCAGAACTCAACCGACTTTGCATTCGCTTGATCATTAAATGCTTAACCAAATGAGTTAAGGCGATATATCTGTGGTTGTGAACGGGGTGTGTGCCATCACTTTGTTGTTGCTGTACACTTGGCGAAATTGTGATGGTTCTTTTTTATTTCGGATCGCTTTGTTCTTGAGATAAAGAAAGTAATGGAATGTTGAATTGTAACTTTTGCTAATTAAAAATTTAAATTTTTAACTGGGAATTTTTAAATCAAAAATGTATTTTCGTAATTCCATTGATTTGTTTTTTGATTTTCCACAAAAATATGTATAATAAATTGGACGTTGATAATGAGCCATTTATAAGTTTTTGGTATTTTTTATATATTTTTTTATATTTAAAAAGCTGATCTTGAATAAAATTATTCTGGCATAATTTTTAATTTATTTTAAGAAATAAGAACTTTCTCTCAGTGATATGCATATGTTTCTGTAAGTGCGGGCAACATGTGGACGTCTGTTTGTCTGCGACTCATAAGTCGCTCTTGCAGCTAAAGAAAGCATGGAAAATATTTCAGCAATGTGAAATGGGGGCACGAGTTCTGAGCTCTCGAAATGATTGCACTCCCCTCCACTCAATGGGGTTAATTTTCGAGCAGGGGGTGGGTAGGATCATCCGTTGAGTTTTTTGTAATTATCTCCGAACATGTGTGGGAATAAATGAATACAAAATACTATTTTAAAAAAGTTTCGACTTCACATAAGAGTGGGAAATGTGACTTGCAATAAAAGCGAGAAAGTAATTGCTTAAAAATATTATGCAGTTTGTTGTTCAACATGCAGCCTAAAAATAATTTTTGGTTAACAAATTATGATGTATTGTAAAACAACGTTAAAATAAATAAAAAAAAAAACAAATTAAAGTTTTCGTAGAAGGAATATTTCCCTAAAAGAAAATTGTAAAAAAGGCTGTTGATATCTTACCAATTAAAATTCCTGGTTCCATAGTCGTAATAATCCTTGGTACGCCTAATCCCAGTAGCGAATTGGTTTCGTTTCGAAAAAAGTTAAAATCACAAGGCAAACATAAAATCTATGCTTTTCAAGGTCGGATCGAATTAAATTATAAAATTTCGTTGAATCACATGGAGCACAATTCGGGATATTTATTTCGATTTGATTGATCGGCTTCGCGGAATGGCAACTGATATCGCCACATTCCTTTTTTTTTACCACTTTCGCACCTTTTTGTTTTGTTTAACGTTTCGTAATAATTCGCTTTAATTGCTTAAAAGGGAAGGTGTGCCAAGAAATTCTACAAAAACGAACAAAAATGTTAGTTGACACTTTTTTGTTTGTTTTCCAAACAGACTTTTGTGTTAAATTTTCCACCAAAAAAGCAAACAACTTTTGCGCATGCGCAAAGACGAAAATAAACAAAAGAAAGCGTGGAACAAAAGGAGTATGGAAAAGAGCGGGAGTCACGCAACTACCGTTAGGATTTTCCTCTGCTTTTAATGAGTTTTCTTGTTTGTTTGCCTGCCATTTGTAAGTTTAACAAGCTGCCTTGTTTACCTATTTGATTGTTTTATTTATTTTTTTTTACCTTTTCTTTATCAATTTCTTATGAGATATCACACAGGTGCGCTCTCCCTCTGCCTCTTTCCTTCGCGCATCATCCTCCCTCGCTCTCTTTAAAAAACAAACACCGGTTGAAAGGCGAACGTTGGAAATGGCCGGAACAGGCGGTATAAAAAGCGAAAACCAGAAATGAAACGTGTGGAAGTGGTACAGACAACAGTTTTGTTGTTGCAATCGTGGGTAATTTGTGAGTCAAAGAATCAAGAATGTGTGTGTATGTATATGTGTGGATATTCGAAAAAAGAGTTAAAAGCAGCCAAAAACCCATTAAAAACCAAGGCAAAACATCGCATTGGGCTTACAAAATGACATTCCCTCCACTTCCTGATAAAATTCTTAAAAATTTGTTATTATTTCTGCACTTTTGTTTAAACAACTTGTGGCTCACTCACACACACACGCGTACACCTTGAACTTGCGTCAGCTCTTTTTTTATGATTTTCTTTATTTTCTACTCATTTTGGTTACCACTTCTTTTGCACATTTGCCTTTTTTGGCTTTACAACTTTAGAAACACACACTTTTTGCCATTCATTTTTGTGTAATTTCTTTTTCTCGGCTTAAAACGACGGCGGCATTAAAAATCGAAAAACTACATGTCGGTTTTCGGGAACGTTTTATGTCTTTCCTCTCCTAAGTCCACTATTACTGTTTTTAAAGATTGTCGTACTTTAAAAATAATCAGACTTTACTTTTATTTCTTCCGCGTACTTGTGCTGTCCATTTGAAGCTTATGAAGTTTGAGCGGCTAATGGCTGTTAAACCTATAGGAAACATCGGAATTTTTCAAAACACGGTTGATCTCTACTCTCTGCTGCCTGTAAGAGAGAAGGGTTCTCTTATGAAGAGAGTTGTTCCATTCCCAATTGGAATCTCTCTCTCCTACTATGTTAGATCATCGTTCTCCTAACATTAATGTTAAAGCCGACGTTATGGGGAAACCAACGATTAAGCTGGTCGTTAAAAAAACGATTATTTTGAATTTCGAATTGAAGCAAATTAAAGCGTCAAGTAAAACAGAATCTTTCTTAAAGATTTTACAAAGTGCCATCTTCTTAAAGAAAATAAATAACTCAATTATCGATGGCAGTAACAGTTCAAGGTAGTTAATAGGGTTTGTATAGGCAGATAGAGATGGGGAAAAAGTTCGTCAAAGTGCATGAACCTACAAAATATATATGTTTACCGATGCCTACTAGATACAACAGAAAAAATAGTCGTTAAACAAAAGCGGAAGGATTTTCCTTGACAAATAAAAACAAAGAAATAAATAAATATCGTTGTTTCCCATCAAAAGCATCGCGAACATCGATGTCTATGTAAGATCATCGTTCTCCTAACGTTTTTATCCTATTTAACATAGTAGGAGAGAGAGACTCCAATTGGGAATGGAATAACTCTCTTCAGCTCTTGCGGAACGATGGGAGTGTGGGGGTGGTCGTTCCTTATACTCTGCTAAGAGAGCCATCGTATTGGGAACGATGGGACCGTTTTAGAAGTCCAAAAGCGATTTGAAACGATCTCTCTTATTGGAACGCGTTGCAGCCCAACTGGCTGTGAGAGAGAGGCAGAGCGGTAAGCGCGCCTTTAACACGTTTCAATTTCAGTTGTTGCGTTCGCAAAGTCAGAGAATGAGAGGAAGATCGCCTATTGGAATTCAATTGAAATCGAATCGAAATAAATTCAAGGGCTGATCACAGTGGGTCAATTTAAACAGAAAACGAGTCTTTTAAAATGTACATTAATTACCCATCCAAAATTGTATTTCAGCAGAATATTTACAAAAGTACTGAAAAGTTAGCAGACTTTACTGAGACAATTAGTCAACTATGTAAGCGTTATAATTTAAACATCAAAACTTCACGCCGATCTTGGGGCATTGATAAATTTAAGCTTAAAATTAAATGGTTTCCAACATATGCTCTTACTTACTTATTAAAATTCTATCATTAGAAAAATTTAATTTATTTTAAGCCTACCACTACTTCAAAAACATCATTTGTAATTTTGCAGAACATATTCAATAACACGTTTGCCAAGTTTTAAAAAGAAATATTAATTGTGTTTTTTATTAATATGGTTTATTTTTTAACTTGCGGGAGTTCATAATTTAAAAGCTTTTTTTAATATATACTTTAAAACTTATTGATGATACTTTTTAAAGTGTGAAAGGTAAAAAAAATGTTTTAAGAAATTAATTTTAGTTAAAACACCTTAAAACATTATGATGAAAAAAGTGGCTTACATTATTTTTAAACATTTGAGTAATGAATCACAAGAAAAAAATATTTTTAAAAGCTTTAAAGTATGAATAATGCATACGGTCATCCGCATAGACCACAAATTCAATTGTTCGGTTTTCTGATAAAGCAAACTATTTATTTTTGCACGAAACAAGTTATAAATTATCTACTGATATCAATAAGTAGTGGGTATCTCATCTTCCATAATTATTCATAATATCTTTGTCCATATAGTAGTTGTATTTCTGTGTTAAATCATTAAATTTAGTCAGCACCAACAACATTACTTATATGTTAAACACTTAATTTTCATAATTGAACAAAGCAGGCGCTGTCACAAAATTCCATATGCATTTTTCTGTCTATCCCTGTAATCCGGCAAACACTTTCGGCTAGAGGTCTGTTCGAAATCAAGCCCAAAAAATTTAACTTTTCGGCACCAAAAAAAAAACGGAAGGAGTCTGATAAAATGTCCATAAGTCGGGGAAGCAAGATGTTGCTGCGGGCGAATCCTCTCCAGATTTTGAGGCGTAGCAAGGCGGACTATGGGAAAACGGTGTGCAACCTAAAAATCAACAAGGAAACCAAAGTTTTAGTGCAGGGATTCACCGGAAAACAGGCCACATTCCATTCGGAGGAGTCCCTGAAGTACGGCACCAACATCGTGGGCGGAGTGAATCCCAAAAAGGGCGGTACGGAGCATTTGAAAAAGCCCGTTTTTAAATCGGTGGCCGAGGCGGTGGAAAAGGTGAAACCAGATGCCACCGTGATCTTTATACCACCACCCTCCGCCGCCGAGGGAATATGCTCGGCCATCGAGAATGAGATTGGATTGATTGTGGCCATCACCGAGGGTATTCCACAGTCGGATATGGTGAGGATATCGCAGATGTTGAGGTGCCAGGAGAAGTCACGCCTGCTGGGACCCAATTGCCCCGGCATTATATCACCTGATCAGTGCAAAATCGGCATAATGCCGGGCGATATCCATAAAAGGGGCGTTGTGGGCATTGTCTCGCGGTCGGGAACATTGACCTACGAGTCCGTCCAGCAGACCACGCAAGTCGGTTTGGGCCAGGCTCTGTGCATTGGCCTAGGCGGAGATCCCTTCAACGGAACCAGCTTCATAGATGCCCTCAAGGTCTTTCTGCCCGACAAAGAGATCAAGGGCATCATCATGATCGGCGAGATCGGAGGCACCGCCGAGGAGGAGGCAGCCGATTATCTCAAGGAGCACAACACCGGATGCGAGGCCAAGCCCGTCGTGGGCTTCATCGCCGGCCAGACCGCTCCGCCGGGTCGTCGAATGGGCCACGCCGGCGCCATCATTTCGGGTGGCAAGGGGGCGGCCAAGGACAAGGTCGCCGCCCTCGAAAAGGCGGGCGTCCGCATGACCGCCAATCCCTGTCATCTGGGCACCACGCTCCTCGAGGAGATGATCCGCCTTAAACTGGTGCCCAAGCCGGAGGCGAAGGCCCAGGCTGGCAAGAAATAGGATCAGACGGCAAATATTTTCGTTTTTAATAAACGACCTTATGGCTTTCAGTGCTCTTTTAATTTCACAAATTTGATTTTTACATAATTAATTGATTTTTGATGGAGACCATACGCTAAAATAATTAAAAGGCAGCTGGTTATCTTTTTAAAAACTAAATTACTTGCTTTAAGCAGTTGAATATGTCTGGTTGAACTATATCCATTAAATACAATATAAATAAAACATATTTTAAATTATATGTGTTTAATTTGGATAATATTGTTCCTTTGAATATACCATAATTGCTTATAAATCATGGTCGTTCTATATTATTCAAAATTTGAGTTCATAAACAATTGCTGAAAGGGGTGGCTTCGGTTATAATTGTGACAATAATAATGCCTAGAGAAGTGCTAAAAACTTCAGTAGCCAATATATTATTGGCTTGCCGTTGGCCATTTTAATATGGTTAAAAAGTTGTAATATTTAATACCATCGAATTTTTCCATAATATACAATATTCCACCCATGTTTCTTTATATTATTTCTATTTTTCTGTATGCATAAGTTTTGTCTGCAGTGGCGTTTTATCATGAGTTTGATATCAAAAATTGTTGCTTTTTAAAGCCTATGACAAACATAAGATAAGCGGAAAATAATTTGGCCACGGCCCAGACAGAAACCAGACTCACCCATTGTTTTAACCCGAAATTCTTCGTAGTCCATTAGGGGAGGAGTTTCGGCTCCTCGAACGGTGTCCAGTAAGTCCTCATCGCTATAAACAGAATCGTAATCGCTGGGATCATGCATTATTTAGATCTTTAATTTGTTTGAATAAATCACTGAGAGACACTCAAAACTGTTGCATACTCTTAGGCAGCTAAAGTATTCACTTGGTGTTTAATTTTTCGTTAATCTTATTTAAGGAAAAATATAGAATTGGGAAGACGTATTAGAAAATGCAATTAATTGAAATGCTAATCCCGGAAAAACTCGAGGGGACTTTATGGCACTCGGAGCCACCGGTAATGGAGGATCGAGAACCGAGAGCACCGACAACCGCATGCGCTTCCAAATTAAACACGACTAAGGTGGGACAAGGGTTTTTGCCGCCGTTCTGCGTTCTCAGCTAATCAAGAGCAAATACTATGAAGGCTATCAAAAACAACACACAAATCTACAGACTGATTAGAATATCAAGTAGTATAACAAGTAGGAACTTCTTGGTCAAGCATATAGGCTACAGGATAACCCTTACTTCTAATTTTGAATTTAAAAAAATCTACATTTAGAAGATGAGTGTAAATCTTTTAAAATCGAAATAAAAAGTCTTTCCATAAAATGAAAAAATGGAAAAAATGGAAAATTATGGAATAAATACTGTGAATCGAAGCTAAAACAAATTGAGAATTATAGCGTCTTTAAGGGTTTTGGAAAACAGTATTCAAACAAATTATTCTTAAACGCATATATTTTCATTTCTGAAATATTTACAGTCAAACAATTTGACATCCAATATAGTTTGAGTTAATAATAGGGGACTTAAATACCGAAACATTTCGTTATGTCTGATATACCCATATAATCTCTAAGAATACCGGGTATAAAAACATACGCTTTTATTTGCACGAGAGCGCGTGCTATCTCCGCACTCACTCTCCCTCAGCGAAAGTAATTAGGGAGAAGTTCTTAATAACTGTGAGTGCAAGCGAGACGCAAGCATATATCTTATCGCCCATGTAGAACTTGGACTGAGATAGCTTACGACTGTCGTCCGCCTGGAATTCCTTCAATTAATTAATGCATTAGAGTGATAGCCGTACATTAAAATTGTTAAGGTGTAAAAAACAATCGAAAGAAAGAAACTAGAAAAGTTACTTTTCCTTAAAATAGTTTGATAACGATATTAATAAATTTAATGATACCTATCCTCAGTGTAATTCCAAAAACCATTTCCCATTAACTGAACTACGCATGATATTTTTTGTTTTTAAAACAGCACACCAAAGAAATAGCATCATTGGAATGTTAAAAATTTTATTTAAATTTTCGTTTCGTCTTTTTCTGTATGGTTTTCTGCAATTCTAATTATAATGCATTTACACATAGACTAGTTTAGCTTGTAGTGTGTTTTTCTTCATAAAACTCCAATTTGTTCATCTGTATTTAATTCAAACTTTAAATGTTGTTTTGGATTTGCATATAGTTTTTTTTGTTTGATTTTTGAAGAGCAATTTTTCTCTTATTGCTGGAGTATTTTGTTCGCTACGTTTATTTTCAGTAACTGATATGTTTTGTTTACTCGTTTCATTTAAATATGTTTCAACTATTTCTTGTGTATTTTGTTTCTGGTGGTTTTGATATTTCGTAATTCGTCTAGCAACTTAAATAACCGTTTAAAATAAATTTAAAATAAAATTAACGTCAAATAACATTTAACAAAGCTTGTATATTATTTTGTTATATAAAAATGTGTTGTTCAGCATTGTAAAATTGTTTCAGCGTTTTAAGAGTTCAATGGGTCAGTTTTGGTATTAAAACCCTGAAACAAGTAACAATTTATATAAATGGATTCTAATAAAGAAAAACAGAAAACAATCAAACAAAAGTTACAAAATTTCCCTTGGTGTGATTAGCTATAAATTTGTTTATATATAATTTTCTTAAAGTTATTTAATTTTCAACTTTCTTTTCGTCTTCATATTTGATATGTTTTTGTTAATTGATATGTTGCATATATTTTGTATTTCATAGATTCTTGTGTGTTTGTAACTTTTGCAGTTTTGTTTCTTCTTTAGCAAGAGATCTGCTGATATGTATGCGATATAAGTTTTGTGGCTTATAATTAAAAGATGTCTATGTTTTGTATATAGCATTTGTATATTAAAATCTAAAAAAATATTCACAAGGAAAAAAACGTTTTTTTTTTTTAGATTTTTATAGTTTTTGTAGATATTAAAATTATTTAAAATGTACAGGCGAATATGTTTTGATGGAACGCAAAAACAAATTATCACTTTGTTGTTTTTAATTTTCGTGTTTGGTTTATCCATTTCATTTGCATCGATTATGGAATTCGTAGTTTGTCTCCTTTATTTACATGGGGAATTACCTCACATCCTCTTTTTATCATATACATATATATATATATATAATTCAATGGATCAGTTTCTGTTCATAGTCATTCATTTAATATTACTCTTGACTTGTTTAAGTTTCTTCGAATAAATATTTTTCATAATTATATTTTAAATAGACGACTATATAATTAAAATGTTTGTTTTTTTTTTTTTCAAATAAATAATTATAGTTTACTTCTGCTGTAGTTGTTGTATGATCTATCAGCTAATTCAAGGTACTTATAACTCCATTAAATTTTCGGTTTAATCTTAAGAAATTGCCTTTAACGTTGGGTTTTTAATTTCTCCTCTGATTTCTATTCGTTTTAGTTACTTGTCACACTATCTGGTCAACAATTCCGTGCTCCGTTTAAAGAATGTTTGAATTAGAGAATTCTTAGACTAGGTAGTAAGGTGTTTATGTGTTTTGAGAGCCAATTTTAATATCTGCCTAGATAATATTCCAAATTGTTTGGGTCAGTTTTTGTTCTCTGGCAATCAAAATTGGCCCCCAAAACGTGAGAATCTCATTTTGGTTACAATTTGCTTTTGTGTGTTTTTTTCGTCTAAGAAATATATATGTTGAAAATTGAGTAATGTTGTGTGTATTATTTTGAAATAAAGGTTAGGCTTTACAACTATTTGTTTTGAATATATAACTTGAGTTCTCTCATTGATATTTTTTAGACACTCAAAACGTTCCGTGAATTATGCAACTCAGAACCAATTCTTCAACTGCTGCACAATAGCTCGACATAGATATTTTAGTTACTATAACGTGTGCCTAGTTTATTAATTAATTTCTCTGTTGTATTTGAAACATTGAAGTTCTTCTTCTACTGGAAACAACAATAGCTGCAGGGCTTTCTCTACATTTACTGACTAAAACTAAACAAATATTCAATATTTTTATAGTTTATAATAAATAGACGGTTATCGAAAGAAGATAAGTGTACGGGTAAGTACGTAAGAAAATGGTTGGAAGGTTCTTTACTGATAGCCTCGGTTGCCGATTTGCATACATTGTTTTTGTAGGGACTTTAGTTTTGAATACCATAAGTGACGGATCTAAGAAGCCTTGAAACACTTTACATATACATCAATAAAAATGTTCAATATCCGTATACATATATATGTTTCAGAAAAAGTTCGTTATATAAACACTGATATATTTTCGTTTTTTTTTTTTTTGTTTTGTTATTTGTTTTACTTTTTTCTTTCACTTTTTTAGTATTTTGCCAAACGATCCTGCTTCCACATTTTATTTTTCCTAGTTTTATGAAGTTTTTTTCTGCAATGTTCTGAAATTTGCGCATAGATTTTCTCAAAAAAATATATAGATCGCGATAGAAACGCAACACATAAAGAAAGTCTAAGAAAGAGCGCAGAAACTTGGGAGAAAGCTTGAGATTTGTTTTTCGTTTGATAGCAGCCGATTTGTTATCGAAATTTTGGTTGTTCTTGTATATGTATTTTCTCTTCGCCATTATTTTTTTGTAGCTTTTTCGTGATCTTTTGCAATTTTTTTTAAGTTTTTGGTTTGCTTGATTTTGTTTTTTTTTTTATAAAAGTGTTTGAAAAACGAAAATAAATCAACTTAAAGATTGGGTAAGAAGGTTTTGGAAAGCAAAATTATACCCAAAAATAGAGTTTGAGAAAATATCTTTTGGCTGAAATGAACTGGGGTGTTTGTGTGTGTGTGTGTTTTTGTCAGCGGATGATGAGTGTAGGTATGTGTGGATGTGTGTAATTCGCATTTAATAATTGTAATTATCGTAGGGCGTGCCCAAATACGAATAGAAATTAGGATTGATGGGCTGTGCGTGTGCATAATAAAATCCAGAAGCCGGATCTGGCGCTACTCAGTCGAGGAAGCCGGTGTTGACCAGCTTCTCCAAGAAGAACTTCACATCGCCCAGCTCCGAATCCTTGATGCCCAGCGACTTTAACATGCCAAGATCCCCGTTCTCCACCGCCATGAAAACCGAGCGCAAGTGTTCCAAGTCCGATCTGCAAAATAGGATGTAAAACCAAACCGAATTAGATGGGGTTTGTTTTCAGCTTGTCCTTGCGATTAAATAAAGTTTTTTAATAATGTTTTCTTGGCAAACGACTTAAGCCACGGAAAGGGAGAGGGTGTGTAGGTAAGGGAATTGCCCTCTGCAGTCTCTAATTGCTGTTTAGCTCTCAATTGTTCTTGGGGTAAAAAGAAAAATTGTGCTGCCGTGGTGTTGAACATTTTATTTATGGTTTATTTAAATTAAGAATTTTTAATCAAGGCATTACAAAGTAAATATTCCATATCTACCAGTTCGAAAATGGCATTTTTGGCAGCACACATAAATAATGTTTAATATTTTAAAATATAAATATTTAAAACATAATCTTATTCATGACCCAGTTTTTGGCAGAACATATGTTGTATCGACTATGTAAACCGAATATTTTGAGAACAGCTAAGATATCATATATTTGAATACAAAATATTTGGTTCGATAAGTATACATTTTTGAGCTGGGAATATATTTACAAGATAAGTAAAGTATTTTATATATTTATTCCAGTTTTATATGTTTTGATATATAAATTTATAGATATTTTGAAGCTTGAGGAGAATATTTGAAAAAGTTTCTTAAAATCCTACGCAGTAATTTCATACCGCTTAACTTTTACTTCAATTTTCTTACTTTAAGCCCACAGTGAACTTAAATAATGAGAAAAAGCTCCTCAAACGCACTCGCTGGCATGGACACACACAGGGCAAGTTTTAGCTGTGCTGCGGTGGGTCTCAAATTATACGCTTTGCTTAATTAATCCCTGCAGGTAACGTTCGGCTGTTGCTGCTCATGCTATTGTTGGTTGTATTATTGCTTTTGTGGCTTGTATCCTGGGGTGTCCTTTGACCCAAACCATATTTTGCTGCTTTGTTGCGGCTGCTAGATAAACTTCATTATCATCAGCATAATTAGTAAAGTGAGTGGGAAACCTTAAGGTCGATTACACAGAAACTGAACACTGGAAAAACATTAAAATTCCACTTTTTAAGATACTTAAAAAAATATGTTGAGTTTGATTAACTCTTAGTTACTTATTTGATATAAAAAGTATATGTTTTGTAAAACAAACAGGGGGCTTCCTGTTTTTAAATATTGGGCAAAGAAATTTTAGGTCAAAAGTCATGAATTAAAATATATGTTTTGTGATCTTTATTTCTTTTGTTATATCACTTTCTTATTTTGGATTGTTAAAATTTAATAGCACTCTAATTTGAAACAGATTTTATTACCAGTAAAAGTTTATCGTTTAATATTAAACAAGAAAGAAAAGAAAGCTTTGATAGCTATATTTTGATTTTTATTTCGATTTTCCCATTCTAAAGTCAAACACTTTAAGGCAAAAAGTCTTCGATTTTTCTTTCTGTGCATGCGGGAGGGCAAGCAAGAGTGCAAAATACACATTAATAATTTTTGTGCGTGTCTTGTGGTTCGAGTACATCCATTCTACTCCATTCCCTTTCTTCGCCCCCCGTTTCTCGGATAGAGACTTAAGCTGGGTGGAGTGACATTATGACACTTGGGCGATTAATTGCCTTGATGAAATTGTGTAAATTTCCAGCATAGCCAGACAGACAAAGACCTCTTATATTACACGCAGTCCCCCTATTTCTCTGGCCTTTTCTGTGTCTAGCTAATTTATCAACATGTGCGTGAAGGCAATTTTTGTTCGTGTCCTTTTGTTTGGCCCACAGGTCGAAATCCTGTGCCTGCATGGCCCACAGTTTTATGATTATTATTATTATTGCCACTCCAACTCACCTTGTGGTTAGTTTTTGTTGTACTAATTTAATGAAAATTTTTCTTTCATGTTTTGTGCCTCTACTCACTTCTCAATGTTTATATTTGGGCATCCCCCTCGTTTGTGTTCATTTCACTTGTTGTTGTTTTTGTTAATTAAAATTTGGCTTTGTTTATCTTGGAAATTGTAGCTTGACGCAGGGGGGGGAGAATGCCTGAAGTATAATGTAATTAAGACAGCTGGAAACACATGTTTGGGCCTAACAAAGCGTAATTGACAGGGTTAAAAGCGTAAAAAAGGCTTAAAAGGCTTTATTTTACTAGCCACAAGCCGAGTCAAGCCACAAGTTCTAAGCATTCTTTTTATGTAAATCCCAAAACTGACAGATTTATAGAAAATGCAAATCCTTTTTTTTTAAATCACTATACAAAAAAATGTCCCAAAAGTATACTAAGGCCTACTGCCCCTTTTCATAATTTAATTCATTAGGCATGGACAAATATTTTGTTTGCTTAGGACAAGTCTAGCAAATGGTTTAAAAAAAAAAACACAAGCCATAAAGAAGCTCTTCATAAAATAGAACTGAAAAAAACAGAATATGATAAATATGAACGAGCTATTTTAAAATTTCATGACACTTCGTGTGCATGCTTTTTGTGTGCTTGCCTTGAACCCAGCAAATTTTATTATTCCAGCAGTCACAAAAATAGCAAAGGAAAAGGGACTCCAACCAAAGGCAGGGATAATTCATGGGACAAGGACAAGGACAAAGCCTGGCCTTTGGACTTCCACTATATAGTTTCATTGGAATAAAAGGATTCCCCCACAAAGCGAAAATAGCCCGGAGTTATACTAAAGTTTCTTAAAGGGCTTTCATTATTTATGTAGCTCAGAGAAGCTTAGAACCTGGCTAAAATTATTTTTCATGCTCGAAAAGCAGCTGACAAAAAGGGGAAATAATTTTGCTTTTGGGCTTCTGTGGCAGCCGTACAACCAATTCAAGCACACTAAATTGCACCCAGTGAGCAAAAAATTAAGTTAATGGTTTTTGCAAAATAAAGGTTTTCTTTTTGTAATTCTATTCATAATGATAAATATTATAATGAATATTATTTTACACACTTCACATCGCAACGATTTTTCTTTGTATTCGGAAAACAATTTAATCAAAATATTGACAAGAGGAAAATTATTATATATTTTCCTGTGGATTTGCCAAACAATTGAAACGGAATATTTATGTATTTATAATGATTGTCGAAAGATTTGAAATAAAAAAAAATTGCGCAGCGTAAAAGTATAGTAAAAGCAGCTTTCTGATCAGATTTTAATAATTAATGATGATAACGTTTTAAACTGAAAGCGTTTAAAAGAAGGGACAAATAATTTGTTTGACCTTTTTGTTATCAGTGTAAAATACTCCCAAAAATTGTGAGCTGCAGTGGCAGTGGATAGTTTAGGAGTACTCACCTCATTAGATGAAGGGCAGCGCCAAAGTCCTCAATCGTTTGCGACTCACTCAAAGCGATGGCGACCTTGTCCACACCGCCCAGAGGTGAAAGGGCATCACGTGCCTTGCTGCCGAAAAGTTTCTCCAGGTAATTGGGTCCGTGCGAGGCGATCAGGCTCTGAAGGAAGGACGCTGTCTCCTCGACCGGCGGCCTTTTGGCTGCAATTAAGAAAACAAACAACATTTGTATTGGTTGCAATTAAATAATAAAGTTTTTGGAAAGGTTGACACTTCCCGCAACAGTAATTAATAAGCCACGGAATGCCCTGATTACTATCAGCTTAATGCAATTGCATTCATAATTTATTCCCATTTAAATTGATTTTTGTTCATTAAGGTGACAAACAATTCGGAATCAATATTCCATTGTTGATTAATAAATGAGAAAAACATTTTTACTCACAAGTCATTAAAATTGAATTGGACATGCCAACATACGTTTTAAGGTTGCATTGAATTTTTTTTACTGACTGACAATTTTCTAGCCATTAATATTAATAGCAAACTTAATGATTTTTTTCCTCCTTTCACATTCAACTTTAAACGCACGCGTGCATATAAAATTAGTCCTTCCTCTGTAATGAATTATTTAAATGGGGTTTACAGCGATGGGTGGAGCGTCCTGCGAGATTTGATATTTTCGGACAATGCTAAATCTTTTTAAATATTTAATAGCAATAAAAAATCGCATTTACGTAAAAGTTTTCCATAGTTTTACAACTCGGATTTGGTTGTTTAACTTTGTTTTGCTTTAATACTAAAAAAAAAGTTGAAAGCTTTTTTAGTCTTTCCATTGTTTTATTTGAGTTAAACGGAGATTTGGTTTGTTTTTACTTGTGTGTCTTTAATTTAACAATGAGACTAAATACATTTAGATCAAAGCGATTGTGTAGTGATAGTGTGTATTAAATTCTGTTCAGTTCCATTTAATATGAATGCAATTCTTTAGTTTGAATTTAAATCTTTTCTATTATTGTAGAATTGAAGGTTTTATTTAGCATTTGCCGACTGAAACCCCTTCTGGCGTTCTTTTCACTTCGAGGCACTTGCTCGGCATAAAGGAATATATATTTTTCATTTCGTTTTCATGCTCCTGTTGAATAAATTTATCCCCATTTATTCACATCTCTTCCCTTTCGCCATTTTCTTTTGTGTTTATATTTGTGTTTTCCTTGGCTCCGGCAAACATTTGTGGGTCAGTCAGAAAGTCACTCGGTGAGTCAGTAAGTCAGTCAGGTAGTCAGTCAACCAATCCGCCGAGTCAGTCATGCACAAAGGGCAGACTTTACGGCTCTTGGGTCGCTTTTTTTAACCCACTGACTGCACTTGTTAACCCACGGGTGCACCATCCCCCATCCCCCGTCCCCCAGCCACCACTCACTACTCACTCACATATGCTGGCATTTTTAATGGCTGCAAGGACACGTATCTGGATGGGTCTTGTTCTCGATGTGTGTGTTGTGTGTGTGTTGATACAGTTACTGACTGTATTTGTTATGCAAATGGCGACGTTTGCAAACCATTTTTCCCTTTTTTTTTTAACTCTTAATACCCTCTAGCTATGGGGTGACTGTGCGACTTTTGTTTTATTGTCATCAAGATTAATGCGCACAATTAGCTTTACTAGCGGTCTCTGGTGGAAATTTCCCATGCTTGAAGTTTAATTTCTTAATTACACTTGAATAATTACTCTTTCGGTATCAAATTTTTAAATATTAAAGCTTTACTAAGTGTATTCGATTTCTTTCACAGGATTTTGCGGAATGAATTCACAACAAGTTTGTTTGTATAAGTATTCAATATCTTAATAAAACACTCTAGGTAGTGCTTGTGACATTAAAAATCCTTCTTAGTCTTATCACCTTTTAGTCATTTATTCATGCAATAATATTTTTTAAATTTCTGCTATTCAACTTATGGAGCACAATTTTAACCAATTTGAAATTGTATTTCGTTCACAAAAGTTGCAAAACATTACTATGAATTAATTATAAGGTTTTTTATGGTTAGTCAGCAATTCAGTTTTATGAAAGTACTTAAGAAAGTTATTTTTAGGAATGTTCTAACATAAGAATAATACTATCTCATTTAGCTTTATATGGGAGATGCATTGGTAAACAGTGAAAGAGCAAATATTTAATTGTAAATCAGTTGTCTTAGCTTCTTGTTAAACCTTTTATTCATGTACTAAAATTTTTTTTAACTTTTATTAACAAAAGTTGAAAAATATTACTATTTCAATGGTTAGTTAACATAATTTTGAAATGTAAGCCAGCATTTTTAAAAAGTTTGTTTTAAAAATGATAAACTATTGAAAACATACTGTTTCGTTAAATAATTATAGAAGATGCATTGGTAATCAGTATGGGTTTGTTTAATGACTGAAAATGTTGGGTATTTGCCAATCGAAACCGCTGGAAAACCTTTTCCTTTTCTTTTTCCATGGACTCGTCTACATGAGCTTCAGTGCCTCCGTGTATTGTGCGCTTCGCTCGGGGGATTGAGCTCAATTGGCGGGTGGGGATGGGGATGGAGATGGGAATGGGAATGGGAGGTTGTGGGAGTCGGGATTGTCGCCTGTTGTTTGCCTTTAACTTGTTACATATTCCGGACGATGGATATCAGCAGTTTAGATTAAGTCTACGTAGCGATTCTGCCCTAGTGAGGGTTAACATTTTTTAAAACTTTCTCCGCTGCTTTTGGCTGATAAAATGTATGCAAAATTATGCTAATTTCCCAAGGGTATTCGAATGCAGCTTGTTAAAAGTTTTTTGAATACTTTTTATTGCAATTTAACTCGTTTATCCCTTTTTTTTCCAGCCAGCAAGAGCCTGAGTAACTTTAATAAAATATTTTACCTAATTTGCATACATGGAAAGCATTTTATGAAAAGAAGAAAAAATTTTATTTAAGGATATATTTGTGGTTAAAGCGAAACACCTTTAATGGAAAGATTATGTTTATCAACTTTAAATGATGCCCTTTAAATTTAATAACTAAAACTTAAAAATACTATTAATTAGAAATCTACCTTAATTCTTTAATTTAAAGGTTTTATTATTCTCTTTTAAGCTTTTGTTGATAATTTTCAACGAAAATGGTAAGCTTTCCAGCCCATGATTTTTGTAGATTATTTAGAAAGATCCTATAAGCCCTAGTAATTAAACAAGTGATGGCCCAAGCAAAAACGTGGCCCTCAGGCTTCGTTTTTTATTTCAACTGTTGCCCAGCAATCGGCTGAAAGAGGAGAAAGTGGAGATAGTAAGAGAAACTGGCCGAATAATTTATCAAAGACCCCCGAGGTTGAAGCAATAACTTAGGCCAGCGCCAAAGCAGCCGACACCTCCTAAATGATTTCATTGCCGAAAAATAGTTTTTTTTTTCTGCAAAGCCGAACAATGGCGGAAAACCAGCGAAAATGTATTCTATTGTGACCGAGTAGGAATAAAGAGAAGGAAAATGGCGGGGTCGAAAAGTAGGAGTGGGCGAAAGTGGAATGAAGGTGGAGTGTTGGCTAGTATCTCAACTTTTGGCCAACTGAATTGCTGGCAATTAGCAGCAACAATTTGCTGTTTGGCCTCAAGTTTCGCATTTCCCGTTTTCAGTTAGCTCAGCGGGTGGAAATCTTCTTTCCTCCGCCATAAAATAAAGTTTTCCGACCAATTTGTGCGGCCTTTGTTTGCCTGTCTGTGTGGATACCAAAATTTTTAACTTATCACATGAATTTTCCCATCCGTGACATAATTAGGGTAACTATAAAAACTTTTGCTGCCAAAAATCGTCCCCCTTTTTGTTCTTTTTTTATTCACTTTATATTAGCTAACCATACTATATCGTTTATGAAAATGAATTGATTTTTTTTTGCTTTTAATTGCTTTTCAATTTGAGGCAATTACTTTGCAATCAATTTTCCTAGTCCCTCCAGGCTAAAAAAGAAAAAGGCAAATGTAATTGATATGGAAAAGCATTGTATGTAAATCGCATTCAATTAGCGGTATTGTGAGTCATTCAGAAATTGCTTTTAACTTCAAATTATAAGTTTTAAATAGTTCTTTAAAAAACTAAAGCTTTGTTAAAATAACTTCCAAACAAAAACAAAAAATGTATTATTTATAATTGAACGCCGCTTCATACTTATAATAACAAAACTTTAGTAAGATTTGTTGCACAACTTTTATTTTAGCCATTTTGAGCTCATTTCCCTTGCACTTGAAACTTGGTCAAAAAATCCCAGTTGATGGACAACGAAAAAGAGGTTGAAAGTTTTTGAGATTTTGTTTGATAACTTGGTTGCAGCTTGGACTAATTTGATTAGGTGCCAGTGGAAAGCAAGTGCCACAAAATATGCTAGAATGCAACGCGGCCAAGATAAAGTTTTCGCCTCGCTTCTGGCTAGAAAAATCATTTCTGGTCATGATTTTCCATCGCAGTACCTATGTTTCAAGCTCTGCTGCTCTTTCTCTATTTTCAAGCTACTTAAGGCGGAGTTCCTTTCCATAGTTCCCATTTCCCATCAAAAATCTCAATGGAGCTTGCCAAACCGAATTATTAATGGCCAAACCTTGTGCATTCAATTAGAGCAAGAGTTGAAATGGCCATCTCAATGCTTCTTTGGTTAGTGACATGACTTACCCGCCGTGCACAGACGCATATCCTCGTCATATCCATCAGAGCAATCGGGTGCACCGTCGCATAAATATTGGATGGAAATGCAATTACCATCTCCGGGACACTTGAAGGGTTCGTACGGATGACAGGCTTCTGCAAACGGAAAATACAAAATATTTGTGTCAATCCAGGGATTTGTAAAACATCGTAAAAATATTAAATATATCAACAACTTAAAGCTAGATTTTAATAGCGTTGGAAAATATTTGTGAGCTTGGGAAAAAACATTTCACAAATCGTGAGTTTACACTGGGTAATCGGATTTGTTTGCCAACAATTTGAATCGTTTATTTATTTATTTCCTTTGTTTATTTTCTGCAGTGATTTAGCAGGCTTAGTCTAGTTCCACCAAACCCATTTATATTTGTTTGTTTATTTGTCTTAATTGCTTCTCTTTAACTTTTTGTTTCATTTTCTGATAAACTAAGTTATGCAAACCTCATACTGTTTATAATCAAATAAATATAGCATAACTAGTTTTTTTTAAATCAAATCTCATTTCATTTCCATAAAAGAAATTTCAATTTGAATAATTGAATATAAAAACCAATCTATCTTAGTACATAGACAACATGAATTATTTGTGTAATAATAAACAATTGCAATAGTCAAATTGTCTATTTGAGTTTGCCAATCATCGGTAAATTTGGATTTTAAAGAGGCTTAAAACCCCTTTATGATTAATGCTTTTTGGTCAGCTTTAATACTTTAATTAGTAAAACCTACATTAAAATTACATTTGTTTTCTTATTTTTGCTGAATGCAAAAATAATTAATTACTATATTCGGAATAAAACAAAAAGTTTTCAATTTAATTTACATAAAAAACAATGCCTAAAACCAGATGAAAAAAGGCAAAAATAATAAAAATAGCACGAAAAAGTTATCTGACAATTAGGCAAATTAATTTGCTTTCATGTTGTTTATTGTTTACATTTTCCTCGCAACATATTCGCTGTTCATAAAAAGGCGTTAAGGAAGCTTTCATTTTTATGTGGGGGTGTAATATAATGAAAAGGATAAGGGCATCATGATGGTTTCCCACCAGAGTCAAACACCAATCCCCAAAAACAAGGGAACAAAAAGAGGAGCAAGTTAATTGAATTTATTGTTTCTGCTTGCGCCAAAACTCGACATATTTCATACAATTTCTTTTTTTGTGAAGCAGCATTTGCAGGCTTATTTATATATACTGTTTTTTTTTTTTTTGTTTTTCTATACATCTCCTTTCTGGCAGCGTCAAATTGGTTTTATTAGGCTCTGCACGTGGAAGCGAAGATTTAAAAAAAAAAAACAAAAAACAATTTTCATTTTCCAACGCCATTCTGCACGGTTCGCAATTGTGGCTTAAATCACACAAAACGGCAAACAAAAACGTTGGCTCTTTTGCTTTTGTTTAAGTCTGCCGCAAATAAGTTAAGCATTCAAATATTACATTTTTTTTGGCCAAGCACAAAGTTTAATTTAATTTTCCGCCAAAGGAAATTGTCTTTCCAGCAAACTTTATTCCTGACACTTGACATATTTTTCTATTAAAGTTTAGTTGAGGTTTTTGTCCTTCCTTTATTTTTCGCATACTTTCTTTTTGTCCAGTTTCGTTGTCAACTTTTCGAGAAAAAGTGCAAATGATGTTTGCAAGTTAAGAATGTGATTGTACAAAAATGTTTGTGTATTTTTTTAGAGGTTGGAATTATATTTAAGACTTAATCTTGCCACCTTGGCCACCGTAGAGGTGAAAGAACTTGGCGGGCATTACACATACGCCCCGTGTCACGCGCGAGACAAGTTAATTTCGTGTGATTCATTATGTTTCGGTTAATGTCAAAACAATTGGAATTTATGTGCTCGGCAACACTAATTGACAGGTCGAGGGATCCAATTACTTTTCCCTTACCTCCATACAAAAGCTTCGAAATCAGTTCACAGAATATAATTCAGTGTGAAAAGTGTTTCGGTTTATTGTGCGTGTTGTGCTCAGATTGAAAAGGTCAAATGAGCAAAAGGATTGGTCTGGCCTTTAGCCGGTCTTTGGTATTCGTATTTTTACCCTTTGAAAGACATAGAAGCCCGGCCTTTACGCTCGCACTTAAAGCTGGTTTTTATGCGGCATAAAAAGGACAACTTTTGTACTTTGTTGTGGCATTGAAAGTGTTTGTTTTCCCCTTTATTTTGTTGTCGGTTTAGTTTAGTCTCGTTTTCTTTCACGTTTTATACGCCAATTGATTGCCATTTGAATACTTTATTATTTTTAATGCCTTCTCGGTTTACGATTATACGTGATTGCATGTGAAAGGATTGGCGGTCCGAACTTTTTGTGGAAATGATTCTTGAATTATTTATCCAGTTTGCGAATGAAATGGAGCTGGGATTGACTATAACTTTTTTATTGATTAAATACGTAGTGGGATTTACTTTGTGGTACAATGTTTAATTTTTTTTGTCGAATTTAAAGATTATTGTTGTTAAATAGAGTTTCATAAGCTTATCATTTCATTTTATTTAAATGTTGTGCTATTAAATTAATAAAAGAGAGCTAGTCACTAATGGGTTCAAGCTATACACATTTATAACAAATTTTCGGGGGAAAACCAAAATATTATGAAAGATTTGTTTTTAAACTTTAAATATTCCAGAAACAAATTAGTAATTTTATAAAATTGTATTCCATTCCAAAAAATTTTTCAAGTTTCCCAAAATAAATCCAAAAATGTTTCAAACTGCGCACCAAAAAGCGTGCTACAAAAAGTTTTCTTATTTGCTATATAACCGCTATCCCCGAGGTTTAGTTTGGCTCAAGATGCTTCACATACTTAGAGCCACAGCACAGTTTCATAAACACACTCGCCAGACGACCACAAAATTGCCTGTGGCTTGCGCAGGCAGATATTAATTTTCAAAAATCAAGGAGGCGGGACAACGCCTGTGTCGTGTGCTGCACACATAATGAATGTTGCATAAATGTCATAACTCCGCTTCCCCATCGGGGAGTTCAGACTTTTCTTTGCTTGCCATAAAAAAAAAAAAACAGAAAAATAATAAGCGTATACATGGCAAACCAGAGTTAAATAAAGCGTAAAACTTTTGGCCACACACAATGTTGTTTCCGCCAGACAATGTCCAAAAGCCAGAATCCAGAAGCTCGAACACCATTTTGCTAAGCGCTGCACGTGACACCAGGAAATATCCTTACACTCGGTTTTTGTTGCTGTCCCCTTATGGAATAATCTTAAGTCTCCGACACTGTGGCCGTAAAATGGTGTAATAACACTATGCAACAAAATTGCTAGTTGTGATGCAGAGCTTCTACTTTATTTTCCATTTTTGCTCAACTACGATTTTTTCTCAAGGCACTAACAGTTTTTACTATTGTGGATACTATTCTTTATTAATTATTTTTTATATTTTATACAACCAAATAAAACACAACTTTATTTGTAATTTTTTTGTTATGTAACCTAAAATACTTGAAGTTATGATTTAATCTGATTTAAAATCTAATTTCTTAGCACTTGGGTAGAAGAAGGTGTTTAAAAGTATATTTCTAATATTGAAAACAATTAATTTTAATAGCAAACATTTTAAGTCTATGAAATATTTAATATGCCGAAACCAAAATTTAGGTTTTTTAATTTAGTTTTATTTTCTTTATTTTAGCCTTATAAAAAAACAATTCATATTAAATTCAGTTAAAATAATTATTTCTTCAATGTTTGTTTTAACCAAGTTTTTTTTTTAACAATTACTACTAGTCCTTGTTTTTTTTACTCTTTAGGCACAAAAATGTTATCCAGTGTAATTGTCAGTTAACAGAATTTTAGTTTTCATGTGTCAATTTGCGAAGGACCAAAAGCAGCAGCATCAGGCGGTGCTGTCACGCATGGCGTATGCGCAATGTTACACAGTTATTGCCTTTGGTTTGGGTTTGTTGTATCAACTGCTCCACTTTAGCTCCTATAGCCCATCCGCCTGCCAATTGCAGTTTACCTGACCCACGCAATTGCCTGGGCGTAATTCAGTGAAGGGGTGGCTTCTCCTTATTGCCGATGGGCAATATCCGTCCACACAGATGGGTAGTTGGCAGTGGAGAGATGCCGGATAAGTGCCAGCTTCAGCCTAAATTCCAGCAAGACTTCGATCCACTGACAGCTGCCAGCTTATGAACGGCCACGAAATAAATTTTGGCCAACTCAGAACAAAGTACAGTTATGGCCAAGAGTTAACTTTCATGGGATGGGAAGTTCTGACGGCTTTGGCCTTTGTGGCTGCCTTTAATTGGGAGTAGCCATTCTTGGGATTCATTAAAATGTTTCTTGTTTCTATTTCTAGCATATAAATTTTCTTTAAAAGCCAAATGAAATCCAAAGAAACTTAAATAGTCTTAATTATCTGATGTTTGTTATGAAATAAGAATGTAACACGTCCATGTCTTTTTATATTCTATCCAAATGTTATTTCAGAGCAATAATGTTTCAATGATTCTCTGCTCAAGGTAAGTATAAAAAAAATGTTTGCTGTTCTTATTTCTAATTATTTTTTATTAAGAGCCTTCATTTTTTTTTGACAAATAGTTAGTCGTACTTAATTATATTACAGAGAACCAGAGAACTCTGGTAAAACTTAACTACAAATGTTCATATTTCCTAAACGTTAACTATAAGATAATTGTTGTGGAAACCGTCTACTCCTTGAACTTCCCTTGACCACTTCCTTTCTTTAGACAACAACATTTCCTGGCCATAACCAGGTTTTGCATATGCAAACCGCAGAGTGACTAACCAAAGTTTCCAACTATGGCGAACTCGAACCACACTGCACGATAGCATGTGGAGAAATAAATAAAGGGAACGGCACAAAGTGACGTATACGCAATATCAACTAAATAATTGCACACACCCTTGGCCAACAGAGCAGCTCACTAATGAAAATTACTTTCCTTGGCTGTTATGTGTTATGTGTGTTTGGTTTGTCGCCTTCTTGCCGTTTTGTGTGAAAACCAGTTTGATTGCACTGGCAAAAACAATAGTTGGCCAACAACAAAAGCAGCAAGAACTAATTGTTTTCCATATAAATTAGCACATTTGTATGCAATGCCA